ACTGAGCATCCACACATACTCAGAGGAGGATGTACCCCATGTAGAGGTCAAGTATGGCTGAGTCCTCAGTATGTACATTGCCTGTGTGCTATTGGAGGAGTGATAAGGAGAGGCAACTAGAAAACACAGAAGTGTAAATCAATATCTAGGATGGAATCAGCTGGTTTGTATTTATTCCCGCTGATGTGTTGATTAGCTGCTTTCTCTCTCACGCACACGCACACGCACACGCACACGCACACACACACACACACACACACACACACACACACACACACACACTCCATCTATCCTTCTCTGTGTGTGTTCTCTCTGTTATTAAGGCCTCCAGGTCTGATTAAGTGGCGTGCTCACCCAGCCCCTGGTTAGGACTAATGCTAGGCTGTATTTCAGCGGACACGGTGACCAATTGCACAAAATCATTTGTCTGAGTGTGAGTCCGTGTCTCTGTGAACACATTGGAGAATAATGGATGGCCTCTAAGTGCTGTTCAGATGAATATGTTTGCATGATTTTTGTGGTGTGTCCTCCTGTGTGCTGGAGTATGCATATTTAAAAGCAATGTCTTTAAAGGTCATTGTTTGGTGAATGTGGGTGTGTGTGTAAATATATGTGTGCATGATAATGGTTATCAATACACTAATGGTTGTTAAGAATTTACAGCGGATGTGTGTATGTCCCGGTCGCTCCTGTTCCCCGGGAGAAACTCAATACCACTCCCTGCTGCTAATGAGCTGAGGGACCTCATCAGCATTAATACTACATTAGTCTCAAGTAATATAAACACATCAGTGCGCGCGCACACACACACACACACATCCACATGCTTTGTATAAATACAACCTACTGGCGCATATGCACACCTGAGCAAATCCAATAAAAAGGTAAACAGTTAATAGGATTAAAAGGAATTATTAAACCCCACTGTAACACAAATAACACAGCAGCACCCTGCTAATAATCTTTATAGACTGGATTTGCTTGGATTAATCCAAAACCATGAAAAAGCCTTAATTCCCAGTGCTATATATTTTAAAGGTCACCCATAACACACAGTTACAGAGTGTATGATTTTAAAAGTGTCCTACAATAACTCGTATGTTTGTCTCGTTACGTAAATGCATCAGTTAAACAGAAGACGTCACTGCTGCTCCTCCTTTGGGCCTCGTCACATTGTCAGATTTTGTTGTGGTCGTCTATGTGAGCTTAATATACGTAAATAGATGAGCCCAACAGCCCATTAGCTCCTGGAGCATTTTGCCATCAGCCTGCAGCATTCAGAACCCTGTGGCTGGCTCATATACTGCAATCTAATTCTACTACCAGGGGGAGAGGAGAGCAGAGGAGAGAGAATTGTATTGTGACAGAGAGCAGAGAGTGGGAGGTAAAGGGAAAAGAAGAGGAGAGAGAGGGCTACAGAGAAGGAGAGAGGTAGCTTAATGCAATAAAGCATGTAGTATTGACATCTTTCTCGTGTCTATTGATTCCCCATTATGTTGCTAACAAACCCAGGTTGACATTTTGTCATTTGCAATCATGTTAACACTGCGACTTGCACGCTCCCCTCCACAAACCGATCTATATCTACACACACTAGTTTGCACGTGTGCTCATGCTCTTGCACACACACACTCGCTCTGTCACACACAGAGCAAATGGGTAAGCACATGCACGGTCTTACATCATGCAGTCGAGGACGTGCCAGCGCGACGTTGTACACATGTAGAAATGTCTTAAAAGTTGGCAGCGAGCGCAGACACAGAGCTGTGGACATGTTGATTAATGGATTAAGACTGAACATTTTATTGGAATACACTGAAGGAAATAATAACATCAGACCGGCCCTACAGTACACAGGCAGGAAATGTTATGAGGAAAACAAATATCAATAAGTGTATAGTTAAATGTTACTCAGTCTGAAATGCAGAGGCAGAACTAAAACAGCTCACGAGCTGCTAAAACCGGAGGAGCGTGTGTGATCGTACTGTAAGTGCACATGTGTGTGTTTGTGTGTGTGTGAAAGAGAGAGTTAGAGAGTATATGGTAGAAGATGGTGGCTAATGGTGTGTGACAGAAGGTGCATAGCTGAGATGAACTGAATCCAGGTGTGTGTGTGTGTGTGTGTGAGAGAGAGAGAAAGGCAGTCTCCAGTCTTCTTGATGTCCCATCATATCATATTATATCATATCATACCAAGCCCTGCACTGTGTGGGAAACCTGCGGTTTCTCCTCTATGTCCCATTAAACTTTCATATACCAGTTAATGCTGATGGCTTCACAAACCACTTTACTACACATACACACGTATACACACAAAGAGTTCACACAGCAGTGGCCATGACCTGTACCTCGACAGACACAATGCCATTAAAAATAGAACAAAACCTGGATCAGTTACAGCAGCTTGCTGTCCAGGTGCAAACAGCCTAACGTGCTTGTTTTATGGTAGTGTATATGATGGTCTGTCTGTTTCATGACAGTGAGTGTGTGTCTCTGTGTGTCTGTGTGTGCGAGTGTGAGCCCCCACAGGGGTTGTGCATGAGTGCTCGAGGCCTGTTGTAACATGAAAGAGAATCAAAACACAGGGGGCTAAAAAGGGTCAGGTGGGGCTGAGTCAAACACTCCCGCCGTGACCTTTGACCCCACAAAAGGCTCTAACGCAAAGGAGTCAAGGAGCTGCCACCAGTCAAAGAGACAAGTTAACTGAGAGCTTGAGTCAAGAGCCCTACAACTACCCAGAAAGCATTGTGTGCGTCTGTGTGTGTGTGTGTGTGTGTAACAGTATTAAAGGCTCTTTGTTGGCTAAGTGAAAGCACACTTCTGTGGGCGTGTCCACTCAATCCTAGCATCTTTAATATCCCAAAAAGTTGATTCTGTACATATGGATGTGGCGTTTTCAGTGTGAGAGGCATTCGTCACTCTCATCACTTGGATGAGTAAACAGAATCAACTTTTTGGGATTTCCTTACCTGGATGATTGAGCATGCATCAAGACATCTTTAATACTTTCAGATTAAATCATTCCTGTTGTTTGCTGATATACGGTGAAGAAGCAACTCCTGCTTTAGACCTCAGATGCTGAAGTGACCCAGCGCTCCCCTGGCAACAAACCCTCTGAGTTCAGAAAGGACAGCACCTCGCGCTATGTTATCAACCTGGAATAAAATCAGCAGAGGACTGTGAATCACGTTATCCTGCCATCTAAGGAATTCAGCAGCCTGTGTACACATCCCATCAGATTGCCTGCTTATTCAGATGCCGGCCCTGGCCTGGGACACTGCAACATAATGGCTCATCCTCGGTTTACTCTCACCTCTCGAGCTCAAACTGGGTTTTCCTCTCCCTCCTCGTTTTTCACTTTGTCATCTGTTCGTACTTTCACCCACTTCTCTCTCGCTCTCTTTCCACATTTTTTTTTTATCTCGTTGTGACATTCGCCATTTTTCAACGTGCGGAGACCGAAAAAACTCCTCCTCCCCAGTCCCTCTCTCCTTTGCCACTTCCACCATCCAACCGCTCTCCCCTCTCTTCTCTATGTATCTCTCTAGAGATATGGCAGGTAACAGGTCCCTTTCATCCCTCTACGCTCTTTTTCTCTCCCCCTCTATCACCTATCCCTTCACTGTCACACACTGTGCACCGTTGACTGAGTATGTGGAGTAAAGGGTGAAGCCTGGCGCCTCACAAATCAAATGGGCTTGAACTGATCTGGAAATGAGGGGAGCGCAGGGGACTGGGCCTGTAAGAGCTCACCCACTGGCCAAGGTGCACATGAGACACATTTAACCCAGCTTTTCACACAAGTTTGTCTATGTGTATGCAATAGTTAATGACTAATGTTTCACCTAATTTTCCTCCTTTTGCATCACTTCCCAAAACAATACAATCCTCGCAGGACTGCAGGGCAAGCAAAGATGTTAAGCCAGTAAAGAGCTAAGTAGCTGTTGCATGTCTTAGAAACAGTGGATGCTAGACTGAGCAAGAGGTTTCTCACAGCAACACACTGAAGCCGGACTGGCTGCTCCCACCATGCATCCTTTTCTTCCACTTCAGCGCAGATGAAACGCAGACGGCGTCCCCCCCACCCCCACCCCCCTTTCCCTGACTCCACACTCCCTCTGCTAGTCTGCTCTCAACCGTGGAGCAGCCCAAGCAATGGGACAGAGAGATGCAATCACTCCAAGTCCATTTCTAGTGGTGTTTACAAAGATGCGATCATTGCCAGCTAAGCTGGATGGAAGTCTGAGCAAAATCTGAGTCAGGAGAATCAGTAAGGTTCTTCGAGCTCAAAGTCGACCCACTAACAAGTTATTTAGTCTATATGAATAAACCACAAACACTAAACAGTTGGCTTTGGAATAAAAACGAGTGGAAAACAGCGTTTCCATTGCCTCCTCTCGTATGTTGTTACTCCTCCGTGCACCTACTCTCTCCTTCTATCTCCCCCTCTCTCTGCTTCCACCGGCCCAGGAATCGATCTCCGCAGGATCGATAAGTTGGCATGAATATTCCCTGCCTGCCGAGAGTCTAGTTGGGGAGAGTCGGAGGCTCAGGCTCAGGCGCAGGCAGTGGAGAAGAGGGGAAGGACGGTGACGGAGACGGGGAGAGAAAAAATAGCCTACTCGGAAATAGGAACACACGGGCGTCGTGGAAATTAAGCAACACACGGGTGGAGCAGTGGCGCATCGTTTCACAGAACGGAAAGCGAAAAGAAACTGGACATTTTACGCAATTCATTTTCAATCAGTCTGGACAAAGCAAAGCGCCCGGGACAGCTTCTCTGATTTTTAACAGCCGCCCCGCAAGTGCGGAGGACTGTGTTCAAGCCCTCAGAAGGAGCTCGAGGTGTGTGTGTGTGTGTGCGTGTGCAAGTGGGTGTGTGCGCCGCCAGCTCTGCCCGCTGCAAGTGCATCGGCACCGAGCGAGGCAGGCGGGGCGGGTCTCCGCGGCTTGGCCGACATGGAGGAGGTGTAGCAGGGAGAAGAGAAAAAATGTCTTACCGGAGTTGGAGCGGAGAGCCAGAGGGGATTTGAGACGCCAGGCGTTGAGGTCAGGGGTAGCTCTCTGAAACACGAACGGCACCGGCAAAGGAACAAACATGATCTTCCTCCGGCTTCTTGTTTTGATGCAAATAATCTGTCAGATGTACTGTAACAAGCTCTGTCGTCCTCTGAAGCTCCTGCACTTTCGTCCGTTTCTCTGGCAGACAGCTTTTGGACAATATTTGGTATGGAGAGCTCAGAACATTCGCCGTTAGGTGTGTACACATGTAGCCCCAGCTGCGCACTTTATTTACATCTGTAGACTGGTGCTCGGCTTTTGTTTTGGTGTAAATGTGCATAGAACATAGTATTTATATTTAGATATATATATATATATATTTATGTAGGATGGTCCCTTGAGTGAAGCAGTTATCTTACAGTCCAGACCAACACACAGACGGACAGAACGGAGATCAGAGCTCACTTCTACAGGCTACAGGAAAAGTTGTGTTACAATTGCAGGCCTATTGTAAGTAAGCTTTGATAATAATAATAAAAACACACAAGTCTGCGTGTCACCTGTCTGTCGTCGATGCACCTGCGTCTCTCTGTTACCTTTGCTCCGCTATATCGTTTTCCTTGAGTAAACATAGAGGCCCGGGAGCTTATTTTATCCCCTCACACTCCTCTCTCGCTCCTCACCAGTTAACGTTTCCTGTAGGTGTGAGGAGGCATGAGAACAGTCGCTAGCCTATTCCTGTAGCATCACCGGCCGGGCTTGGCTTTGGTATTCGCTTTGCAGTTTAAAACAGCACAACAAGGACGCATAACAACGCGCTCGACAGTGAAAAAACAAGGCCAGCAGAGTTAGAAAGTCTTATTTGGATTTCTGCACTATTTGGTTTGGTCTATACTGTATTTGGTCTCTAGCTGCACGCGCTCCTTCTCTTCTTCCCTTTGCATGAAGGCTACATGTAAGACATTCATCCGCGTGGGCAAAAAGCGGCGGCTCGCGCGTTTTCTTCTTCTTCTTTAAATTAAAACAGCTTCATTAAAGGCTTCCAAATAAACAAGTGGGACAAAAAAAGGCTGAACGGACACAAACACACACGCGCACACACACATATACACACAAACACAACGCGCGCGCGCGCTTGGCCCTGACGCTCCTCCTCCCTCGCTCTCTGTCACAAGGCAGTAATTAAAACGCAATCAATCGATAGATAAACAAATAAATAAATACAGCGGGTAAATAAATAACAAAAAAAATCAGACTAAAAACCGAAAAAAAAACCCAAACGGAAATAAGAAAGCGTATCTACTGAAATCCGAATTATGGTGTCGCGTTTTATCGGAACACTTGCCTATCTCCGTCCATCCGTCTGTGTGTCTGTTTTTGTCTGTCTGTTTGTCCCCGATATTATTTGGGAACCCCAACAGCTCATTCGACCCGGCTCCCTCCAGGATTGTAGCGATCTGCCACTAGGCTGGCCGCAACATTGAGGCGAGAGAGGACCCGCTACTACTCACACATCACCACCACCCCACCCCCGCACCTCCCTCCATCCCTCAATCCCTCCCTCCTGCCTCCCACCCACCCACCACCGCCACCCCCACCAACCACCCCATCTCCCTCGTTTTCACTACCGCTGCAAAAGGTATCCTGTATTGATTTCTGGATTTTTTCCCCCCTCTTAATAATACCGGCTATAATGATGCCAATGGTGATCAGTGCATTACTGCTGGCCTCCTTGGGTAGGGATGAAGAGAATCCATGGATGCCTATAGGTGCTTAGTGCTAATACCTGCCAGGATACCCAGCATGCACGCAATTAAGTCATCTCATCACTGCTGCGTTTAATAAGCCCTCCCGAGCGGAGTAGGGTCTATCATTATTCAGATAGACAGAAAGACAAGAGCGACCACTGCTGTTCCAGGCATGAGAAAATATCAAGCAGACTGAAAACACAGTGCAGGCTATAAACTCAGTGAGATAAGAGCAGCATGTGCATGCATAAGTGCTTGCATTTGAGTTTGCAGGCAGGATACAAATGACAACAACAAGAGCAACAATAAAAATAAAGAACAAGAGAGCCCAGGTGTCAGGGGACGAGCTCCTCCATTACAAAGGTGATCACCAGAAGCCCTTCTTCCACGCATGCCGGCCTCCCTTCTGCCCTCTCCCACTCCCGGGCTCCCGACATGTTACATGCTGTCAATTACAGGCCAACATCAGTCAACGCCGCACGCTTACACGCCAGATTATTGTCGATATGGATTTTTAAATAGAAAAATCTATACGTTAAACATTGCAGTCAATACGGGCAAATCGATAGGAATGAACGAGCTCTTGCTCCTGTTGGGCCTGAGAGCCTCATCCCGCAGGACTGTTTATGCCTGCTCACTTAATGCTGTGGGCGATTAGGCCCGTTTTAATGGAAACTGCACGTGCAATAAATTACTTTCCCATCATCACCAGACTTGTCATTTACTCAGTCATCAGCAGACAGCCATATTGCCAAGAAATGTGAGCCGCACACTAAAACTGGCATATTCCTAATTATGAAAAATGTGTCATCCTCTGTAGTAGACAACCTGGTTTTATTGTCCTTCTCCCTCTGCTTCACATATGACAGATGACATCCGCAGATCCACTGAGGGAGAGGAGGAGAGGGAAGAGAGAGAAGAACGGGAGACACGGGGAGTAAGGAAAGGAGGAAGGGGAGAAGTAGAAAAGTGGAAAACTGAGAAAGAGGAGTAAGGTGGCAGGGTAATAAGAGGGAAGGAGGAGATGGGAGGTGAGGCAGCAAGAAGAGAGAGGAGGAAAGAAGGAGGGAAGGGCGAAGTGACTAGTTGTCCTTCAAAGACCCCCTTCTCTCCACAAAGGGAGCCATGCGCGCCCCCTTTCCCTCCTCCCCGCACTCCTTCCAGACAAAAGCAATTATTTCTTGTAGAATGTAGTGTGGTTGTGCGCGTCTGTGGAAGAGAGGGATGGAGGGAGGGTGTGTGAGATTGAAGGAGGGGAAAATAAGATGGTGTTGGAGGGGTGAGGTGGATGAGGGGGTGAGGAGGGAGGAGGAGGGGTGCTAACACATACAGCATCCATCCATTTGTCCTCCATGCGCTCTTCTTACCAAACTCTTCTTTTTCTTCCTCCTGACGCGGCCACAAAGACACAGAAAACTATCAATGAGGCAGTCACACATAAAAACACACCGCCGTCAAAACACCTGCGTGGATTTCAGGTATTCAGATGAGCCGATCTCCTTATTCTGCAGCAGACGCTGAAACTTTAAAGGGAAGAAACAAACTCTCATGTCCTCTCACTGACCGTCTTTCACACAAATTCAGGCATGTGCAGAATTTCGATTTTTCCCTCTATTAAAGTTATTTTCCCTCATCATGTCTGCACAGGTGCAAACTGTTTGACAGGTAAAATAAGCACAGAATACAGAGGCTTCGCTACCTGGCCATCTGTCTGGGACTGACCACCTGAATTCTGCAAACCGCCCCCTCCGTGTGTTTCTTGCTTGGTGCCTATAGGGCCCCCGCAGCGAGGTGGGCTCTACAGTTTCAGTCCCCAAGGGACGTGGTGAGACCCACAACCCCAAAGAGAGAGAAACAGATAGGGAGAGCGAGCTCCCCTGAGGGGCTGCTCCAGCCAATAACCCCTGCTGGACCGCTTTCATTGAAGGCCCATGGTCCTGATTGTCCACCTCCCTCCCTATCAAGCCTCCCAATCCATACAGAGATATATAGCTGGTTCCATTGTTTTCTGGGCTGTATCTTTGCCCTGCTGTATTGAAAAATGCTCTTCCAAAATTGTCTCTCTCGCTCTCTCTTGCTTTGCTTCTATTTTTTTCAGGGACAAATAACAAATACTGTAATGGATGTAATACTGGAAAGCAGGAACTAAAAATAAAGTTTAGGGATTGAGATTTAACTGCCGAATGATTCTTTTTAATAACCAAAAAAAGTATAAATGTGTATCTTTTGTAATTTGTGTGCTTCACATCTTCCAGAAAGTTTTTCTTCCCTTTAAATTACAAAATAAATGAGACTTCTGCTTGCAGTGTCCTGCACTGGATTTGCAGGTTTTTCTGCATTACATAATGTCTGCGCTGTACTTTTAGAATTTATTACATTTGCTAAAAATCATATACAAATATGAACTCGTTATGATGCCACAATATTGATATATGTCGTCAAATAAATTTATAAGCTACTGCTAATGGAGAAAACACACTGTTAATAGGTAAACACACTTCTCTGTTCATCACAGCTACTCCCCACAATTATTTAATGAGTGAAATATTTAAAAACAACTCCTGAATCACTCTTTTCAAAACTTATTACATATTATTGGATTCAGTTAGACAACATCTCCAATAAAAAGACAAAATATCAAACTAATAGATCAAATGAAGAAAATAAAAAATATACTATTTGAAGTTCTTTTTGCTTTCAGCGTTTTTTCTTTAACACAAATCAGTTTGTTTGCAGCTGATACTCTGGCTTACGTAGTTTTCCCCACCTACAGTAGTCACAAGCAGATTTATTCATAGAAAGCAATTTGTTCAATTTCTCTCCACAAAATGTTTTCTGTGTCATGTGCTGTAGGTCAGGATGTGGCATGAAAAATGTGTCCAATCAGAAAAAGCCAAAGTATCCTTAGGCTACACATTAGTCACAACACGGACCATTCATTAGTCATATTGTTTATTGCACTCTTGGTAATTGCCTGTTCTTCATTTTGAATGATTGATTTGACTGGCTAGAAACAGAGTTTGAATATTGAACATGATTTTTTTAGTTTTTATTATAAATGATGAAGCAGAAGAAAAGTTCTAACCACAAAAAAACCTCCAAACCCTTTTCCTCGGTGAAACGGTTCGTACTGATCAGGCGGGATGTGTGTGTGTTTGTCCTCACGCGCCGCTCCGCGTGTGTGACCCCGGCTCATCCGAGGGTGTTTGCGGCCATGTCACGGTCGTAGTTAAATGGTGATGTCATGTTGACAAACGAGCTGGTCGAATTAAATTCTCACTCATCAATAACTGCGTCGGTTGGGAATCAATAGGAGGCCAACGGTGGCGTTACTGGCTCTGTCAGCGGCCTAACAAGGCCCTATTAGAATGGACAACGCTCTCTCTCTCTCTCACTGTCGCCTTGTCCCGGCTCATCCGGGCAGCGCGAGGCGTCAACACACTCCTCTCATATCCTCTCCGTGCACACACACATCAATAACAGATGGCAAAATGTAATATTCACATAATGCCATGCTCTGACATGATGTATAGATTTGTCAAGATAATATGGATATGATGCATGGGCTTTTATGAGGTTTGTTTTCTTGGTGTCTTTGTCAGTGCGTGTGTTGGCGAGTGGGTGGGCAGGTACTGTTTGTGGATCTTGGTAAGTGCCAGTGTGTGGGAAGGCAAGATGTGGTGCAGGCTTTGGATCCTAACTGTAGAGTTCACATCCAACCAAGATTCAATCAATCCAAGAAGATACACACATACAGGTGTGGAAGAAGAAGAAGTAGTGAGCTGTGTGTGTGCACAAGTCAAAGTCACACACACGAAAAAAATTCCCAAATGAGAATGGTAAAACTTCACACGCACGCTCACGTACACAGATACACGTATGTTGAAGCAGAAAATACACACAGCCTCACACAAACGATGACTGTACACCACAATCTCCAGCCCTCCGCCTTCCGTTCTCGCTTTCCTCGAGCGAACAAGCAGCTGATCCAGCTAAAGCCCGTGTTCTTTCTGTATTCCTTGTCTTTTTTATTAGTTTTTATTAACTTTGCCTCCCTCTCTCTGTCAGCACTCTCAATAATCAATGCTGATATATTGCCAATATCCAGCTCGGTCCCTCATGCCATCTTTCACAGAGGCTCAGTTATTGGTGGAGATTGGCCCAATAATAATGATATTTATAATAGATATTTATTATCTGGGTTTGTGGCAGGGCTGTGGAAGCCCCCTGCTGAAAACTTACATGCACACAGGCACATAAACGTATACACACACACACGCGTGCGCGCACACACACACACACAGCCTCGCTGGGGCTCTTTAATTTACACTGGTAATATCAGCCGATTATGCCCCACACAGATAGTGTAGGGTTATCGGCAGAGTTAACACACAGTGGCTGCAATGTATTCACTCCACATTATAGAGTCCACTGCACCTGCATGTGTGTATGAGCGTGTGTGGAGAGCTGAAGGTCCATCTTTGGC